CCACACTGCTCCTGTTTATTTTACACTGTTGTGCCTCTGAAAATTATTTTAGACTCGCTGCTTGGAATTATTAAAAGTTGTGTCAACTTCCGGCTGTACTTCCCGCTACTTCCAACTAATTGCAGGTTGCGACTACACAGTATCTGATACAAGATAGTAGCCCTGTCAGATTACGCGTTCAGTCAAATCTTTGCCGTTGCTTCCCCGTCTTTTACGGCCTACATGATGTCAGTGGGAAGGCGAACGGGGTAGATTTCTGCACACGAGATTGTAAATGAACAATGGCGCATGTGTGATGTTGGCTGTCATGTGCTTTGAAAGGCCTACGAATAGAAAGAGGAAAGCAACTCTGGGACTATATTAGGACTGCACAACGCAGACGCTATGAATTTTAAATACTATAGCCTAATTTGAGTTGGGCTATCATGCATACTATAATCTGAAACTGGCATTATTCATCTGCATGACTGGCATCTTATTCACATAACCCTCGCAGTCCAATATTAGCAAATCCCTTTTACGGAACCTTTTAGCTCCCTTTACTCCCATTTCCTGGAAGCAACAATGTACTAAACACTGAGGTTTTTCAGGTTAAAATGCCACAGCTAGCAGAAGGTTATATCTGCTGTGATGAATGGTTTAAGTGGTAAAATGAAACTTGGGTGTTGTGTGGTAAATGTGTTGACTTTGAGCTCACTTTCAGCTGCGTTCCTACAAAGATCATATATAAGGAAATGGCTGCATCACCATGTAACGCCACCGTGCAAGTCACAGCTAACTGTGCACGTGGCACCAACAATTAGTTTATCAACTTAATAGTGCTTAACGGAGAAATCAGGGTGTGTGGATCAAGTGGCTCATAAAAAAATAATGTGTTTTTAATTCTGGACAAAACGAATGACTTTCAGAGCGTTGGTCAGCATCTGGGAGAGAGAGCACATCTTTGGTTTTTTAATCCTGCCCAGACACAAGCGGCGATGTTTTTCAGACACTGCATGTCTGGACGGGTTCCAAAAGGTGCAAATCTGTCCTGGAAGAGGCATGTTTATAGCCGCACGGTCAAGGCACATCATCAATTCAACGTTCTTTTAGGAGCACTAATTGAATTTATTTTGACACTTGTGCCATTTGGAGTGCATGTGAGCCACCTCTCCAGGACAGGAATGGCGCGGGAATGAGGTGGAACAAAAGCTGGCAGGAACTAAAACTGTCAAACATGACATGTTTGAACAATAGAATATGTCTATATGTGGAGAGCAAACCATTACAAGACACAGAACTACTTATGTAGGTAGAGTAGTGTGGAAATCTCTCGAGCTAAAAGCCTGGAGAGCTATTTAAAACTTCTGTTCGAGTTTTGTGAACCTGCTCTGCCATCATTAGTTGACCAAAATGTAAGTTTCAGTCAATAAAACGCGAGAGTATGTAAACATGCTCTCGGGGTTTCAAACAGCATATCGCAAACACAGGCTTAAGAATCAGTGAATTTGATGTTTTTCAGATTTTTTCTCCCCCCCTCACTACTACTAAGATTTTTAAGCCACTACTGTTAATGATTCACACATATAAAAACAACCTGAAAGAGATCTTTGCTTTTTAGCTTTAAAAGAATATAAAATAAGAACAAGAAAGTACATCAACTTTATGGCTTTGCCGATTTTACCTTCCAGCTGTGTATTCAGCGCAGCTAGCACACAGCCACTACTATTGGTGCTAGTAGTCCCCTCCACCACCACTACCGCCACTGAATATCAAAAGCTCTATTTTTCTGTATTTGTAATCAGATTTATTCAACGACAGCCCTGAACAGACACAGCACCCCTAATCAGCCCACGCAGCCTTTCCACTGTGGTGTAGAATCCACCAGGCTCACAAAGTTACATAATAACTGAGTATCTTCAACCATAACTTAACAACAAGTCAGATGATTGCCGAGTTTCTGTTTGTTGTGAATGTTATGCCGTTTGTGATGCTTGTGAGAGCAGTGGTCTCCTGCTTCTCATCTTTTTCCAGAGCGGGCTCTGTGTCTGCTCCAGGCTGTTAACATAGACACTGCAACGAGGTGGCATCAAGTACGAGGTAAACAGAGTGCCACTGGTCGAAATCTGTAGACAGCTGCAGGTAAATGTTAATAACATATACACATCAAAGACAACCTGAAGGATAATCAGGATCAGGATGCCACCCCAAAACTGCATCTAACATCGTCCAAAAAACAACAACCTCAAGATGAGATCTCAACCGAGCCCGGGCTTTTAATATATTAGGATACAATGTATACACTGGACGCTTAACCTGCTTAAATTAAAAAGTGCAGTTAGACTTGCACTCAAGGAAGGAGATGACTGAAACCTACAATCCTACAATAACTGCCTTTTTTCCCCTTTCCATCTTTTTTTCTTAAAACACAGCACTTGCTGTGCTCTGAAACCAACAAACTTGTTAGATTATTTATACAGCAGTCGAGGCGCAACATTATTATCTGTCTCTCGGTCCGCTAAGTTAATATAAGACCAATTTTCATGCCCTTTTAGCTCTGGTATGTACCAACACCTCAGGGAAATATCTGGCTCTTTAGCTGCTCGCAGAGTGTCCGTCAGCTCGATCCTTGCTCAGTCTCTTTAGCGCTCAGCAGGTATTCTACAGTTGTTTTTTGGGGGGGTTGAACAGCTGCATAACAAGAGTGACTTTGAAAGGATTTAAAAAAATACAAAACAGAAAAACACTGAATTGAAAACTGAACACAGCACCATAAAGCTGATGGGAGCTGTGGCTTTCTGTGACAATTCTCCCCAAGTTCATTGCCGCAAACACACTGTACCCTTCCTCTGTTCCTCCCCTTTTCCCCTCCCCCACTTCTCCCCTAAAATGAGGACTGTCAACGGGGCCATATATCTGACACAGTCTACTGTGGACACACACATCCACGCACATGCGGCCTGCGATCGAGTGTTCAGTAATGGGGCAGCGGGAATGAGGGGAACGGGGAGATGGAGACGGCTGGGTGCTGCTGGGCCTATCAGTCGGGTTATATAAGACTGTAATGAGGACTTTCCTTTGCCATAAATCTATAACCTCGCTGAAGATAAAATACAGTAAACACCAGCACTTAGAGCATCACCGCATCTCTGTACAGGACCGAACAAGAACAGCTGCAGGATTTTATGTCTTGCGCACTAACAAGATGTCTCCGTTTCAGTGCTCGTGGGAGTCAGATTGTTTATTGACTGATTAGTCTTGATTAAGATGTTAATGAACTGCTTAATAAATTAAATCAGAAAATTAGGGGGAAGAGGGGCTCCAGGTGGTGTCTTGAAATCGCATTTTAGCCCAACCAACTGTTGAACAGTGGAGTCCAAACAAATGAGAAAGATGCAGAAAGTTCCCGTTTAAGGAGCTGACACAAGATGTATGTTGGATCGTTCTGACAATCACACCCAGAGGCTGCTCCACACAACGCCATACTCGCCATAATGGGGACAGTATTTATGAGTGCTGTGATGTCATTTGAAACACTTTTGTTTTTTCCCCTCTTCTATGCTGCTCATTTCTGAAGATCTAAAGGCCGAGCTCCCGTCAGTCCAACTACATCACCTTCAGTTCCACCAGTGGAAACTCACACCGTGTCATGTCTCAGTAAGAGACACTCCTGCAGTGCTCCTTTAAATGGACAGATTTATGTGGCACATTCAGCAGCGCAGGACTTCACGCCACTGAGCTTGGTCACCCCCCCACATCACGCTCCATGTGACACCCTGACAATGTGAGGGAAAAAAACACAGAGAGAGAGAGAGAGAGAGAGAGAGAGAGAGAGAGAGAGAACTTCCAATTTTGCTGCTTCACCTGATCCAAATGACCCTCCACCACCACTCTCAATCTTACCTCCACTTCTCATTTCTCACACACACCATGCATTCTCACCCTTCCTCCCCCCCTCTTCTTCCACGCTCAGCGCGCAAACACCCGGCCGAGGTACTGGCACTCTTTGGCTGAGAGCCTCTCAAAGAATGTGCGGCGGTACAAGCCTGAAGGAATACACACCATCAGCGCCCTCGACACGCTGCCTCATAAAGGCTCGCGGGCTGACACAAGTGATGGATCACACTTAGCAGGAGAAATGAAAAAAAGAAAAAAAGAAAAGAAAACACTCTGTGGTCCTCGGTGAACATGCGAAATTGAAATGATGTGCTTTCTGTCCTTGGGAAATTGGGGGAAACTGTTTAGAACGGGCAAAGGTCAGAGATCAGGGATCCACACCTGTCGTGGCCACAGTAGAGTACAGTATTTGTACAATATTACAACAGTACAACTTGCTGTCGATTGCCAGTCTGCAGATCTGATGTTAAACTTTACGCAGCACAAAGCAAAAACACGCATAAAGCTAAAAGCAGAAAAGGCCGCGTGCATTTCATGATTTAATCACAGTGTCTGCAGACGACAGACTGCATTTTGCAGCGTCTCCTCCTGCTGAAAAACACCCCACTTTGCATCCTTCTGGCTACTTTCCCAGGAGCTCACCTGTTACACGAGTCTGACTGCACACAAGTCAAATTCAGGCACACCGTTTCACTTATAGCAGCAGCCAAATGATGCACTTCCAGCTACAGTGAGGTGAGACCCATGGGAGACGCAAGTCACACAGCAAAAAGAGGAACTTCGAAGTGACTCTGCCCGTGGATCCCCCCCAATCAGAATCTGACATCATGTTGGGAAAAAATATGCAGGAAAGATAAGTAAGCTACATACAATGATAAGTTTACCATGAGCTAGTCGGATACACTCGGAAAGTTCCCTGTAAAGTTTATATCTGATCAGGAGGTGATGTGGTCAAAGTCATGACCTGAGACCGCGATCACACTCACGGGTGTCAGAACTAAGCAGTGAAATGAAGGTTTAAAGGCTTAAAGCAGGAGTCCGTGTGAGCGTGCGTAAAATGTTGGGGTGGTGAGAGAAATAGAGCTCCACCCTGTTATTTCTCCACCGTAAACTGACATGTATACCTGGTTGGTGGTGTCAGGCGGCAGGTTCTTAATGAGGATTTTCCTCCTGTTGCTCAGCTCCTTGCGAGTTTTGGCCAGCCTCCTCTCGATTTCCTCGGGCTCCAGGTCCGGCAGGTCACGGAGGCTAATCCCGGAGTCCGGGGGTTGCGCTGCCGCCGCCTCCTCGTCCTCGTGCTGCCGGCTCTCGGGGCTGTCCATCTCCGGGGAAAGTGCGCTATCCCGGGCTAGAGAAGAGTGAACGCTCGGCGGCTGGATGGATGAGGCTGCCGCCATCTTGGGAAAAGTGTGAGGAAAGCGAGAGAGAGAGAGAGAGAGAGAGAGAGAGCAGGTGGGAGGTGTGTGTGTGTGTCGGTGGAAGAGAGAAAGATTAAAAAAAGAGAGAGAGAGATAGAGAGAAGGAAAAAGACCGACAGCCAACAACACACAACAATACTGCCAAATTGCTCTGAACTATTTCTTTGAAATCTTCGCTTCGCTTCTGTATTTGGCGTCAGTTTGTATTCTCCTGTTTCTACTCTGACCGATGATGAGCCGTGATAAAGAGCGACAACACAGCAGAGCTACAAGGTTTAGATTAACGTTACATTAAACATAGCATTTGTTTAAAACGGGGCGTTTAAGAGTCGCTGTCATCTGATGAATGAAACTTGTACATGGGCACTTTGACGCACACATGGTTCCCAGCGTGTCGGGCTGCACTCCGGATTCCTGGCGACCCCAACTGTCTGTTAACTGCATAGGAGCCAATCATCATTGGTCAGTGCGGATTAGTGCGCTTTTGAATTGGCTTGCCAATGTCGTGTCGTCTGGCACCAACCTTATCCTCCAAACAGCATATGTTTCCGGATTTTTAGGAGGGAACTAAATTATTATTACTTTTATTATCGACCACGTATTGAACCTGCAGAATGCTCAGTCGTCTTCACCCTGCACCAAAGTGCTGTATGTGCGCACATTTCTTATTTCGGTGCGGCTGCCCAATTACAGCATTTCTTCTTTTGGTGAAGAAGAGAATTGGAGAAGATCCGCCAGAGCTTTCCTGTTCCCCATGTGCATAATGTTACCATGAATGGCTGTGTGCCTTCCCTCCTTTCTACCCAAGTGATCCAGTGAATGCCAGCCCAGCCTGCACGCCTGCCTGCCCACCGTGGGTGGAAAGCTGCTCCTGGCAAACACAAGGGGAGCAGAGCTCCCTGCCGAGTCCTCACAATGCCCGTGTAGCTTCCGCAGGCAGAATGAGTCGCTGAAAGACACACACTGTATGCTCACACTCATAAATATGCACTTACATTCACGTAGGCACACAAACATGTCAACAAGCGCACAATCAACCCACTTAGAAAATGTTTAGAGCGCGCTTATTGCCGGGGCCCTCTGAAAGAGAGACGGAGAAATCAACCTCCGTGTTCTCTCTCTCTCGCCATCTGTGTGGAGCGTTTCTTGGCAGATCGAAGTCCAGACAATCACAGTTGTCGGTGGGTGAAAATGATCTCGCATTGCCAAGTGGCTGAAGCAGTGTAACCGGAAGGCAGCAAGTGTATGCAGGCTGTTTGTTGCTTAAATGCTTCAATCAGGCGTGAGCGCAGTCCACTCCAGAGTGGAAAGGCCAAACCAAAAAGAAGGGCAATTTGTGTAACTGCAAATAGAAGCACTTTATAAGTCTGCATGCACTTCATGCATCAGCTCAACATTACTGCTGGAAGCTCAGAATCCAAGGCGCAAAGTCACACTGTGTCCTCGGAGTAATTCACACACCAGACTGCCAGACTGTACTGAATATCAGGAATGCATGACAGTTATATCCTTTATTTAGCAGATACGAGGCTAAAGAGATCACCTTTTTTAAGAGAGACATAGCCAAGAGAGTGGCCCCAAACTACTGATCGTTTTACATTCAGTTGTTAGCTCCATTCCTCATTGGACACTTATCATCTTAACATCAGATATCAGATACTTCAGCTCAAGTAGGCCTGCTACACAAGCTCAGTATCTGGCCTTTTTATACCATCTCTGTGGTCTCTCATGACGTTACAGGTGCCCTTAACCCAAGTCACAAACTTATCATCATCATGCAGGAAATCAAGCTGAAGCAAATGCCCCTGAGAAGTCGTCCTACATGTAAACTGTGTTTTGATCCAACTGCAGCTCATACAATAGTCGGTACTGGCTGACAGATTGGGGGACATGAATCATTGAGCAGTAGTTCTGTGAAAAGACAGCAAGGACTCGTCTGTCACTTGCACAGGCTGATTTTAGAGACGCATGAATCACTCCACTAAGTGCTAAACAACGTTTTCCATGAGAGAACAATTAATTTGTTCTCTCTGTCCCCCTGGTGCATACACACACACGTGCCAGCACCACCGTTTTACACTTAGAGACACACCGACACACTTAGACATTAACTTGCGTCGGCCTGTAACCTCCTCGCATGGTTACACAAACTCTGTAGCTATCTTTCAAAGCGTTTTACCTAGTCCCATAATAATAATGCACTCCGCTACACAAACCAAGAGGGGAAAAGAGATGTTGGTTGCTCTACCGTCTTAAAAAAAAATATAATAATAAAACACAAAAGCCCTGCTGGTGCTTCAGTGTGTCAGCCAGTGATTCACAGCCCCTTTTGGAGTGGGTGGCAGCAGAGAGGAGAAGGAGAGCGCAGGAAAACGTTTGCTGCTGCTCGCTGGGACTGAGAGTGTGAGGGCGTGGGTGGGTTGAGTGGCTGAACAGGCAAAGCAGGCACCTGGGACGAGCTCAGTAGGCGTGAGGATGGATGGGAGGCAATGAGAGGGATTGATGATGAGGAGGAGGAGGTATCAGGAGAGTGAGGGGTTAACCCCAAATGCTAAAGAGTGCAATGTGATTATGGATATGTCATCCTGTGCTCTTGTCAGTAATGCACGAGCTGATGCAAACAGCTGGCGTAATGCTCTCGTGAAGGATCAGGGATAGAGTGTGGTGGCGTGGCTGCTTCCTCTGATGGCATAGGAGAGATTTAGGGACATGTGACCTACTAAAAACAGCTGACCTGAACACATGGAGGACAATATGCACAAGAGCTCCCTGCCCAATTCTTGTCCTAATTACAGTGGTCATAAGCGTACCTCTTCATCATTACATGGGGAGAGTTGCTTTTATGTGGCAAGCAAGTGACTGAGTAATGAGAAAGTCTCATTTTGTTAGCATTTAAGTGCCCCTTGCTTTCTAACCAAGCATAAATGTGCATCTTAATCCCTCCAAAAGCTCCATTTAGATGCGATTTTACAAGCTTGCCTTAAAAGTTGTAGCTTTGAGCGGGACACTGTCATTAAATCCTTAAGATTTCAGTGCAGTGTTTATTTGTGTGTTTAAAAAAATCCATATGCTGAAGGGATTCCAAAGCGTTTTAATTTGCTTGCTCGCACGACTTGAGATGATCACACAGCAGAGATGTTTTCTGGGGGAAACTGGGACTCTGAACTGCACAAAAATATGCTGCAAGTGCATGTCTGCTGTACTAGTTGGCAGAGCGGAGACTGACTGAAATGACCCGAGGGTGCTTGGACACGAGCTCGGTGCTCTAATTCAGAGAGTTTCCCTGGCAGGGAGCAGCAGACAGCTCAGGAGAAAGAGGCACAGCAGAGGAGATACGGTGACAGTGGAAAAGAGATAAAGACAGCCCCATGTAGGAGTGGTGTGAATGAATGCAGACAAACTGATTAGGTTTATGGGACATGGAGACAGGCAGACAAGAAATGAGGAGGAAGTGCCCACCTTCTTCAGCTCTCCGCACTGCTGAACTACATCCCTGCTTCCCCAGTGTGCACATCTCCATTTCCACCTCAAGGTTAAACAGCATACCTTGCTGTACTCTATAGCCTTCTCTTAAAATAGACAAAACTACACTACCATTTCCATGAGAAATGGTATCTATCTGGACAACTATCTGAATTTATGCACTGATTGCTCTTGAAACAGGCAAAGTAAATCTGACTAGACTAACAACACAGCATTGTACCGTTCATGTTTATTTTTGTTTTCAGACAGTCCAGACATGAAAAGGTAAGTGAATTCACTTCATTCAGTTTTATTTATATAGCACCAAATCATAACAACTGTCAACTCAAGGAAGTTTATTATGTAGGCTAAAGATGTCTCAATATTAGAGGAAAAAACACAACAATCAGGTGACCCCCGATCAGTAAGCACTTGGCAACAGCAGGAAGGAAAAACCCCATTTTAATAATTCAATTCAATTCAATTTTATTTCTATAGCACCAAATCACAACAAAAGTCGCCTCAAGGCGCTTCATAGATACAGAGAAAAACCCAACAATCATATGACCCCCTATGAGCAAGCACTTTGGCGACAGTGGGAAGGAAAAACTCCCTTTTAACAGGAAGAAACCTCCGGCAGAACCAGGCTCAGGGAGGGGCGACCATCTGCTGCGACCGGTTGGGGTGAGAGAAGGAAGACAGGATAAAAGACATGCTGTGGAAGAGAGACAGAGGTTAATAACAGATATGATTCAATGCAGAGAGGTCTATTAATATATAGTGAGTGAGAAAGGTGACTGGAAAGGAAAAACTCAATGCATCATGGGAATCCCCGGCAGCCTACGTCTATTGCAGCATAACTAAGGGAGGATTCAGGGTCACCTGGTCCAGCCCTAACTATATGCTTTAGCAAAAAGGAAAGTTTTAAGCCTAATATTGAAAGTAGAGATATTGTCTGTCTCCTGAATCCAAACTGGAAGCTGGTTCCACAGAAGAGGGGCCTGAAAACTGAAGGCTCTGCCTCCCATTCTACTTTAAATACTCTAGGAATAACAAGTAGTTAACAGGAAGAAACAGGAAGAAACCTGTGGCAGAACCAGGCTCAGGGAGGGGCGGCCATCTTTCACCATCAGCTGGAGGTGAGGGGAAGGAGACAGAACAAAAGACACACTGTGGAAGTGAGTGGAAGTTTTAAATGAATAAATATTAATTAAATGCCATAGTGTTGTATAAAAAAAAAGAAGTGAGTGAAAGAAAAGTTTAGTGGATCGTCAAACCCCCCAGCAGCCAAGGCCTTTTGCAGCATTACTAAAGGATGATTCAGGATCACATGATCCAACCTGATCCTGATAAGCATTATTCAAAGGGAAAGTTTACTTTTAAGACTGAGGGTAGAGAAATTGTCTGTCTCCTAAATCCAAACCTGGAGCTTGTTCCACTGAAGGGAGGCCTGATAGCTGCCTCCCATTCTATTTTTAGAAATTCTAGGATCCACAAGTAAAACCTTTATGTGAGATTGATGTACTCAATTGGGATAATATGGTACTATGAAGTCCTTAAAGTTAAAAGTTACTTCAGTTTTCTTACCCCTCCCAGTTAAAGTGCATAATCTTAGCTATGGTGGTTGCTAGAGGACAAACACGTTTTAATCAGCCAAGAGAGATCAAAAACATTAAATTTAGACCGGAATAGTGGAATGTGACTTTAGTGAATTTGGTGTGAATTTAGACAGTGCAACATAACAACCAAGGCCAGTTGGTGTGTTTCTGATACTGTTTGGACGAGATTTGGATCTGCCCCAGTTGTTCATTGTTAGCTATCCAGAGACTGAAAGGTCACATGTCTAATTTTCTGACAACAAGTAATTGCAACAATATCAGAAATAAATGAGTATATTTGTGCACATGTTTGTGTGTTGGAGCCCTGACTTCAGTTCAGGAGATGAGGCCAAAGAGGAGGACATGATATTATTAAGATCCTGGATTCCCTTTCTTTCATGTTTTGATCTCTTTGCTGAAGAGTAACCCTTCTTTAGTCTGAGTCTGAAGGTGCAGGCATGTAACAGCAAACAAACAGCTTGTACATGGACAGTCTCTAACCACATTTGCAAAACATGATTAGTCAGAAGGAGACGTCCTTCACGGCCACTGGTGGGGGAACATGGTGGCTTCCACAAATCACAAACCTATGTCTTTTTCCTTTGCATTTCTAATCAATTAATTATAAGTTTATGAGAATCATCAGTTTGTAGATGATGTGATTATACACTATTATATCTATATTTATGTGCATATATATGCAATATCCTTTTTTTCTATTAAATAACCTTGAAAAATTACTGACAGTACATTTAAGATATGGGATCATTCAAGGCTTTGTATGTGAGAAGAAGGATTTTAAATTCAATTCTTGATTTCACAGGGAGCCAATGAAGAGAAGCTA